TCGAGGCTCATGGGAAGAGATTTCAACAGATTAAAAAGGGAATTTATTTGATGTTTGAACATGCTGTGCCTGGTTTTTACCTTCTTAAAAACATGAAACAGAACTAGTTCATTTGAAAAGAGTTTGCAGTGTGTTTGAAGTTATTCCTCAACAACATAAGTTTATAAGTGTTTTTGCTATAGTGGTAGACAAAGAAGTAGTAGTACAAGTAGAAGTAGTAGTAGTGATAATAGTGGTAGTAGTACTGGTAGTAGTAGTGGTGGTCGTAGTGGTAGAAGTTGTAGTAGAAGTTGTAGAATTAGCAGTAGTAGTGGTAGTAGTATCAGTATCAGCAGCAGTAGTAGTAGTACTAGTAGCAGCAGTAGTAGTAGCAGCAGTAGTATTAGTAGTAGTAGTCGTAGTAGTCAAATTAGTAGTAGAAGTAGAATTAATAGTCGTATTAGTATAAGCAGCAGTAGTAGTATCAGTATCAGCAGCAGTAGTAGTAGTAGTAGTAGAAGTAGAAGTAGTAGTAGTAGTAGTAGCAGTACTAGTATTAGTAGTCGTAGTTGTAGTCGTAGTAGTCGAATTAGTAGTAGTAGTAGAATTAACAGTCGTAGTAGTAGCAGCAGCAGCACTACTAGTAGTACTAGTAGTTGTAGTAGTTGTAGTACTAGAAATAGTAGAATTACTAGAATTTGTAGAATTAGTAGTAGTGGTAGTGATAGTGGTAGTAGTAGTAGTAGCAGCAGCAGTAGTAGCAGTAGTAGTATCAGTATCAGCAGCAGTAGTAGTAGTAGTAGTAGTAGTAGAAGTAGTAGTAGTAGTAGTAGTAGTAGCAGCAGTAGTAGCAGCATTAGTAGTAGCAGTACTAGTATTAGTAGTCGTAGTTGTAGTCGTAGTAGTCGCAGCAGCAGCACTACTAGTAGTACTAGTAGTTGTAGTAGTTGTAGTTGTAGTAGTTGTAGTACTAGAAATAGTAGAATTACTAGAATTAGTAGAATTAGTAATAGTGGTAGTGATAGTGGTAGTAGTAGTAGTAGCAGTAGCAGTAGTAGTAGCAGCAGTGTCCCAAATAGAAGCAGTTACAGGTTAGCTCTGTGGAGCGGACACCCTGCTCACTGTAAGAATGTGAACATTTTCAGGTCTGTTTTAGCAGGAAAAACACTTGTTATTGAATATATGCAACACAAAGGTGTGCGTCATGCTAATACTAACACAATTGAGCATGCTAACAGTGCACTTCCTGATTCTCAGACAATAAATGACTTCATAATTTGATGCAGCCAGTACACTGAACTTATTTTGACCTCAAGAGCTGCTTATACAATATATCTGTACTGGGGCAAGAATGCATCTTTTTCAAGGCATTTTAGGAGAAAAGGATATAAAAAGATATATTAAAATGCATGCAAAATAATTCAAATTTATTGCCATACAATTTCAGGCAAAGCATTCGAATCTCCATAGAGACAAGCCCCACCTGCACAAAAAGTTAAAGTGTATAAAGGTCCTATATTATGCAAAACTGACTCATGTGAGCTTCTAGCCATGTTAAAAAGCTGTTACCTCATCAAAAACAGACCTGGAGTTGTGTTTTGTTTCATTCACACAGATTTGAGTAACTCTTTATTATTAGTCTGTCTTCATCTCCAAAGCTCAAAATGCTCTGTTCCACCTTGTGATGTCATGAAGCTGTAGATTTCAGGTTAACAGCTACATTTTACCTTTAGTTCAGTAGAGATTGGCAATTCCAGGTCTGAAATATTCCTGTATTACCACATGACATCACAAAGTGGAACTGAGGGAAAAACTCAGTCTAAATCTGATTTATGTGTTAAACATGTGAATGAAACAAAACACAACTCCAGGTTTGTTTTGACGAGAAAACTACATTATAACCACTGCTGGGCAACTGTAACATGTTATTTATGACTTGTTACTGTGATTTCAAAATAATTCATTACATTACAATATTACTGGGTTTAAAATGTAAGGCGTTACATGACTACAGCATTACTATTAAATTACTCTCACCAAAATAACTGTCGCTGATCATCAAATAACAATCAGCGAGTGAAGATGTTGATTGCTGAACTTTTCCACCGTATGTGGACTAAACCAGGACCAAACCAGGACTAAACCAAGTCTAAACCAGGACTAGACCAGAGCTGAACCAGGACTAAACTAGGACCAAACCAGAGCTGAACCAGGACTGAACCAGGACTGAACCAGGACTGAACCAGGACTGAACCAGGACTGAACCGGGACTGAACCAGGACTGAACCAGGATTAAACCAGGACCAAACCAGGACCAAATCAGGACCAAACCAGGACTAAACCAAGTCTAAACCAGATCTAGACCAGAGCTGAACCAGGACTAAACTAGGACCAAACCAGAGCTGAACCAGGACTGAACTGGGACTGAACCGGGACTGAACCAGGATTAAACCAGGACCAAACCAGGACCAAACCAGGACTAAACCAGGACTGAACCAAGATTAAACCAGGACCAAACCAGGACTAAACCAAGTCTAAACCAGGACTAGACCAGAGCTGAACCAGGACTAAACTAGGACCAAACCAGAGCTGAACCAGGACTGAACCGGGACTGAACCAGGATTAAACCAGGACTGAACCAGGACCAAACCAGGACTAATCTTGGAATGTAGGACTGAGCAGGGTGTTCGCAAAGCATGATCGGGTGTCAGCTGCGATTAGCCCCGTGGAGCGCGAAATTCTGTGCCGATCCTTTCGCCGTGGTCACCCGACGGTCTACACAGTCCAAACACTTGGAACCTTAACAATAGCGCTGCACTGCTGATGATATCACGATGATTTTAATGAATTTGTATGAAGAAAAACGAAAAACCCACCACTTCAATCCAGGTTAAAAAAGCATTGTAACGCCCATTACTCACATAGTACCGAGTAAAATATTACCGATTTTTTTCCCTTTAATGCCCTACATTACTAGCTTGATTCATAAACCGGTTTCTCTTTGTTTCACTTCGTACAAACTGTTGGATTTCGTTCACTTGACAGTAGGCAGGTACTTTTTATCATTTACCCAATCTCTACTATTTGGTCGTGACGTATGTAATGGGTCGCTAACAGGGATAACTGGTATATAAAGCTTTTCCCAAGTCCTGTAGGAAGAAGGACAATAACATCTTTCCCCTTGATCAAATTCACCAAACATCCTCTTTGGCTACGTTCAGACTGCAGGGCTTAACGCTCAATTCTGATTTTTTTGTGAAATCCGATGTTTTTGCGAGGTCGTTCACATTTCCAATTAAATGTGATCTCCAGTGTGAACATTAAACGGCCCGAAAGTGTCCCGCATGTGCACTGGAGACACGATGACGTCAACCGCAGCGAGCGTGCTCTGTGTTTACGGAAGTTGTCCAAACATGGACGCGAGCATTGAGCACCTGGAGATTTTAAAGTTTCTTTCGTACCGGAGCCAGAACATGAACAACTTACTTGTTTTAAGGAGGAGATTGAGAAGGAGAAGGACGAGGTTTTTGGTCGTGGTGTTTTGTGGGGCAGCGGCAGCGACGTCCGTTGAAAGGAACGTGTGGATGTGGAGACGGAGCCAAGAGTGGTGAGTGGTGATGTGCTTCACTTCAGTGACACGGAGTTCGTTTACAATTTTCACCTACTTCAGCGCAGAATAATGATGTTTGTGGCTTGTTGATAACGTGTAGGTCGGATGAATGCACTTTGACCGTTCACACTGAAGTCGCATGTCAAAAGATCGGATATGTATCGGATTCAGGACCACATATCCAAGTGTCCTGGGTCGCATTTGAAAAAATCGGATCTGTGTCGTTCAGACTGTCATTAAAAGATCAGATACAGGTCACATAGAGGCCAAAAAATCAGATTTGGGTCACTTCAGGCTGCAGTCTGAACGCAGCCTATGTTCCGGCTTTAAATCCTCGATCTCGGGAAAAATATATGACTTTTCACTGACTGGCTGGTGCTCGAACTTGCACTTCCAGGGTTTTTGCAAACCATCTAGTGTATTCCGATTCCTGACCTAGTTGCTGGAGAGAAATGAAAGTGAGCGGAGGCACTAGGCGGTACCAGCCTGACTACAACATTACTGCGTTACAGCAAAAGCAATGCATTACAGTAAGTCATTACTTTTGTAGCGCATCGCTCCCAACACTGATTATAACAGATCAGAATATAGAGTAATGTGGACCCTTTAGTGCAGTAGGGTGTCATTATTTCAACAGATCTCCCTTACAAAGTGACACAAAGTTGAAGGAGACTGACCTGTGTGAATGAACGACAGTATGAAACGTTCAAAACAAAGTAGAATGCATTACAACAATCATCTATTATCATAATGTCTAGCACTTAAATCATACAGGGCTCAAATTTAATCAAAATGTACTAAATCAGACACTCAGATCTGTGTGTTTAGTCTTGGTATACACTGTAAGTCATTTGCATATAAAGCTTTTCTTAACAGTCTGAGGCTAGGCGCGCTCTACAATAGCAGGTTATCGAGGACACCCACTCATCCGAACAATCACTATGCGGCAAAACTCTCTCCCTCTTTCTCCACCTCTCCATCTCTGTCCCCCTCTCCCCTGTCCCAAGCCCAGCCCCGTCCCGTCCCATGTGCGATCCTGTAGGGGGCACAGATCTCATTAGAGTGGGCTCGGCGATGATTCAAATCTTGCAGCAAAGTGGGACCCGGGTCATTGGTTTTGACTTTGGAGGAAAGCGCCAAAATATTCACGCCCGAGCCAGTGTTCCCCGATGATAGAGGGGACTGTAGTGGCTCCTCGTTGTCTAATCTGCCTTAAAACATAAAAAAGACAAGAAATGAATACAAGTTTGTGCTTCTTCTGCTTCCTTGTGTTATGTTTCCTGCACAGTTTCCCTGTCTGTCTTATGTATTTGCTAATGAAACTCACTCTTTGGCCCATGAAATATGCTCTGTCATCATTTCAGTCATAATCTTAATTGAGCTAACTCAGTGTTAATGTGTGTCTCCACAGGCCATGTGCATCTTACAGACTTCAACATCGCTGCTATCGTAAAAGACGACCTCAAGGCTACATCCATCGCAGGAACCAAGCCATATATGGGTAAGAACAGAGCTGGGCATTGCACTAGGGTGACCAGACGTCTGTTTTTCCCCGGACATGTCCGTATTTTGCGTCCTGTCCTGGGCTTCCGGGTTGTTTTTTTTTTAAACTGATGCAGATGTCCGGGTTTTCATTACCGTTCATTAAGGGCATTAAACTGAGCGTCTCTCGTAGCGTCTGTGACTCAGAAGGAGCGAGCAGACACAAACAGTCGGTCAGTTTGCAACACGCCGAAGTGCAAATGCACATTTAACAATGACTTGAAATTCTCAGTTTTCCATCCCGGTCGGGACAAGTGAGAGGCCATGTGCACAGGTTGCGAGGTGAGAGTTCAGTGTCCCTCGTTTATCACGGGGGTTACGTTCTAAAAATAACCCGCAATAGGTGAAATCCGCGAAGTATCAACTTTATATTTTACAATTATTATATATGTTTTAAGGCTGTAAAACCCCTCACCACACACTTTATACACTTTTCTCACACAGGACAGGTGCAACCCTTTTTGCATCCTTCTTAAAACTTATTGCTGCTGTCGTCCTTTTGTTATTTTCCTCCTTCTTTATGTAACAAACTGAAGATTCATTTATTCCGTAATAGAGCCTACAGCGTAGAGAACTGCACAGGTCCCTTTTTGGAGACCTGCAGTACAACACCACACCCGCCCGTTAACCCCTGATTATATCAAACCTTTGTGCTGCCTATGCCACAGACTGAACCAAGACTAAACTAGAAAAGCACTCAGAGAGCGCAGACCTCCACCAAGGACTACAGTCCCCCTCATATTAATTTTGTTTTCCATAAATATTTGTCTCGTATCTTTCAATTTGGAATATGAAAGAGGATCCCATTGTCCATCCCTGAGTCAAATTTCATGGGGTTTGGTCAATAATTAATCGAGATATTGAGAAAAAAATTTTTTGGCCCCATTTACCACAATGTTAACTAAAATTTAAAAGTGATCCAGAATCCAGGATTTCTTCCGGATCACCCCCAAAAGGAAATCAGTTCTTCCTTTTCACATTTCCAACAAATTCTGAAAATTTCATCAAAATCGGTCCATAACTTTTTGAGTTATGTTGCTAACAGACAAACAAACAAACAAACAGACAAACACCTGGCAAAAACATAACCTCCTTGGCGGAGGTAACCAGGACTAACCCAGGACTAACCTAGGACTGATTCCAGGACTGAACCAGGACTAAAACAGGAATAAACAAGGGCTAAACCAGAACTGAAACAGGACTCACTGTTGGGACGGGCTAGAAAATGACTGCAGGAGAAAGGACCGATGGAGAGCTCCACACCTCACGGAGGTAATTGCCCGATCTCGCTTTGTGGACAAACTGCTCGGCATTCTCTCTCTTAAGTCCAAGATTAGTCCTGGTTTAGACCTGGTTTAGTCCTGACCCACCCGTGTGTAAAAAAAAACAACAAAAAAAATGCAAAATTGACACACACACACACCAAAAAAAAGAAAAGAAAAATTATTTCTGTCATAATCCCAAGAATTCAAGTAAAAAACATATCTCTTCATGTTGTCTGTGTTGAAATGAATCATGGAATATGTAGTTCCCGAGGTTTAGTAGCTATTGCTACTATTTTAAAAATTCATTTAAGCAAAGAAACTTGTGATTCGATATATTGTGAGACTTTTGACCATACAGTATCACAATATTTCAGTTATTGTTACATCCATACCAGTATCTGTACCGGCACAGTCATAGGTCACAGCTGTATAATAAAGACCCTTGGTGATTGGATTGTACAAGCAGGAATAGTTCGTTATTAGATCTGTAATTCTAATAGAGTGAAGAGCAGTGGCGGGCGTCAGGGCCTGCAAGTCCTTCAAATCTCTGAATCACAGACTGATGTTAAATATATTATTAAATTATTCCAACTGGTCTGTCCGCTTCCTTTCAGAGCTTTTCTGATAATTGTGCTGCTTCCAGACATGTATTTTCATATTAAAGGATTTGAACCATCACATTTCAGCATCACTTGTTGCTAGGCAGAGTCAAAGTCAAAGACGTTTGCCTGAGGCCTTCACAATCCGTTCTGCAGGCCCTTGAACACAAAATAAATGTCCTTGAAACTGTTGCTTCAACCAGTCAGATTTTTAGTTGGTGTCACCAGGGCCTTTAGCAGCAAACGACAACGTCACTGGATTCAGACCCACTGACTGGACAGTCAGAGAGCGAACCAGCCAAAGCAACAAACTGCATCTGTAGCGGAACCAGGACTAAACCAGGACTACACCAGGTCTAAATCAGGACTAATCTTGGACTTGAGAGAGCACGAGAGAGGAAGAGAGCACGGCAGTGCCCCGCTGGTTTAGTCTTGGTTTAGCACCCAGTGCTCCTCACTTCTGCTCCATGCATGGAATCTCCACGGCTCTTTATACTGTGTTCTGTATAATAAGATGCTTTTATAACCATAAAATAATTATTGAGGTGAGGATTGCTTCAGACGGAGCACTACTGAAGGCCTAAGTGTGAAATGCACGGTCCGCCACTGGTGAAGAATATGCGTCACATTGCCCTGTAAGACACATGGGGTTGCCTTCGCGATGTATGACGAGGATTGTATCAGGGACAGCTAATCAACTTAGAGCAACCGGTAATTATTTTCATTTCCATTTGTTTGACTCCTCAGTGCGTCAGCGGATGGACTGATATTTGCTTAATAGTGGTAGAAATTTCCTGATTTTTGAAGAAACAAAATACACATTCTGACAATCTTCACATCAACCTCAAACCAACCTGCTGTGAAGGAGCTTATATGTGCTATATAGTTATAATGTACGACACCCATGGATCATTACATTAGAAAAGGGAAAACAGCTATGACATGGTTCAAATCTCTGAACCGTCAATTTTGCAGAGTAGGTCTAGGTTAACGCAAAAAAAAAAGAAAAAAACACCTTAAAGGAAAACCACGAGAGCTGCTTGATGGTGATTCATGTTGACAGCTTGATAGATGGATAAAAATAACCAGATTTCAAGGGCTGTGATCGCTGCTTCTGTCCTCCAGGAATCTGCTCCGTCAGTAATTCAGCGCTCTGACAAAAACCTGCCTGTAATGGCTTAATTAATATGGGTCAATCAAAAATAATTATGAACCAGACCAGCGCGAAACTGCTGCCACTTTGAAACTTGATTTGTTAGAGCCTGTACGTGTCTCCACTCTGTATGGGAGGATTTAATGCCATACTGTGGAACATTACAGATAATATAGAGATTTGTAGCACACTAAAAAGTTAAAGTGCACCTTTAACTTGACCAAGAAAATATCAGTCACATTTATATTTATATCACACATTTTAAAAAGAACCAATGACTAAAGTGCTTTACAGATTTGGTATCACAAAAACATATCCATGGAAACAAGCAGTTAGGGGACCCTTTACCAGAAAAGTTACATAGTGCGTCTTTAAAGAAGGCCTCTTGAGCTTGTGTAGGCTGTATAGTTATAATCTATTACACCTGTCGAGCATTATGTTATAATTTGCATATTTTAAATCGCAATATTGATCTAAAACGACTAGGGATGTAACAATAACCAAAATATTGTGATATCGTATCGTAAAATGTTCCTTTCCTTATGGTTTTACAATAACAAATGCTAATAAACATGCGGAACTACATATCCCATGATTCATTTCAGTGCAGACAACATCAAGAAATGTTTTTTTAGTTGACCTCTTGGGATTATGACGGTAATAATTCACACCAAAATCTTGTCAAGGTATTTTAAAAGCAAAAAAGTGTCTCATCTACAATTATATCAGCCTCTCCAAAATATCGCAATAAATATCGTACCTTGAGATGTATATCGTGATAATATCGTACCGAGAGATTTGGATATCGTTACATCCAATAAACGCCATCGCAACAAAGAGTCTGCAACTCCGAAGGATAGTTAGCAAGTGTTTTTAGTTTTTAGTTTATTTTATTTTTTCATTTGTACCAAAATGACTACATGACGTTGCAGAATCCTACATGTTACTGAAATTAGAGAAAATTAGGAGTACAGAACAGTTGGTGTGTACCGGTGTCAGTGAAAATGGGCATTGATTTGCATGCCCGGGGGCCAAATTCGACGTACGCTATAATTATATTTGGCCTGGTAGACTATATAAAGAGAGCTGGTCCGCCGGCTGCAGATAGGCTGGATCAATGTTCAGGATTCAAAGTTTAAGCAAAACTATTATTAAATATTTTTTTTATAAGAAATGGTTTAACATTCCATATCTCAAAAGAAGAGAAAACATACAGATGTAATATTTAGTTTGGCTCACAACTTAGTCCCAGTTTTTAATTTCGACCCTTTGTGAATTAGAGTTTGACACTCCTGATCTAAGGTTGTTTAAACATGTGTGAATAAAACAAAACAACTCCAGGTTTGTTTTTGATGAGGTAACATTACAACACAGCTTAAAGCTCCATGAGTCAATTTAGAGAAATATAGGTCCTTTAAAGGTGCTTTGTGTAATTTTTTGGTTGGGTACAGAGTGTTTCGCAGTATGACATTAAACAGCTCTACAACATTTTTTCAGTTACAGATTTTATAGCTCAAAAATACCTTAAAAACAGGCATTCTTACTGTGAGCGGGGTCGCCCCTCCAAAGATCTGACCTGTATATTGGTCTGGTTTGATCTCTATGAAGATAGAAATGTTTAATCCCATACTGTGAAACATTCCAGACAAATAAACGTTTGTCTAGTTGACAACTTGAATTTCTCCTTTGCCATTTCAGACAAAGCAATAACATCTTCATGGTGAAAAGTATTGGATGGACCCTCTGCTGGAAAGTTACACAGTGCACCTTTAAATGCTCTGAAAAGTTGATTAATAGTATAATATTGGGTGACCAAACGTCCGTTTTTCCCCGGACATGTCCGTATTATGCGTCTTGTCTTGGGCGTCCGGGTTTTTTTTTTTTTTTAAGTGATGGAAGATGGAAATGTCCGGGTTTTCATTACCGTTCATTAGGGGCATTAAACTGAGCGTCTCTCGTAGCGTTTGTGACTCAGAAGGAGCGAGACACAAACAGTCAGTCAGTCTGCAACATACTGAAGCGTATATGCACATTTAACAATGACTTGTACAAGAAATTCTCCGTTTTCCATCCCGGTCGGGACAAGTGGGAGGCCATGTGCACAGGTTGCGAGGTGAGAGTACAGTGGTCCCTCGTTTATCGCGGGGGTTACGTTCTAAAAATAACCCGCGATAGGTGAAATTCGCGAAGTAGTCAACTTTATATTTTACAATTATTATATCTGTTTTAAGGCTGTAAAACCCCTCAGCACACACTTTTACACTTTTCTCAGACAGGACAGTTAGAAACCCTTTTTGCATCCTTCTTAAAACTTATTACTGCTGTCATCCTTTTGTTATTTTCCCCCTTCTTTATGTAACGAACCCAAGATTCATTTATTCCGTAACAGAGCCCTACAGCGCAGAGTCCTGCACGGGTCCATTTTTGGAGACCTGCAGTACAACACCGCACCCGCGCATTACAGGACCTGCCCGTTAACCCGTGATTATATCAAGCTTTTGCGCTGCCTATGCCACGGACTGAACTAAGACTAAACCAGGACTGAACCAGGACTGAAACAGGAGTAAACCAGGAGTAAACCAGAACTGAAACAGGACTCACTGTCGAGACGGGCTCGGAGGTGACCGCAGGAGAAATGACCGATGGAGAGCTCCGCACCTCACGGAGGTAAACGCAGCAATTTGCAGACAAACTGCTCGGCGTTCTCTCTCTTAAGTCCAAGATTAGTCCTGGTTTAGACCTGGTTTAGTCCTGACCCACCCATGTGTAAAAAAAGAAAAAAGAAAAAAAGAAAATCAGCTAAACGGCGAGACCGCGAAAGGTGAACCGTGATATAGCGAGGGACGACTGTAGCTCAATGTCTCCGGGTTTTCACAAATGGAAATATGGTCACCCTGGTATAATACGCTCTCTTTAATAGTAATTGTTGTATGTATGTATCTGTGTTCCAGCCCCGGAGCTGTTCCAGACGTTCGAAGGCTCTCACCCGGGCTACTCCTTCTCCGTGGACTGGTGGTCTTTGGGCATCACGGCCTACGAGCTGCTCCGCGGACAGGTACACAAACCAGCTCCTATTATACTACGATTCTCCGTACAACCCCCCCCATTCATCACAACGCCCAGGCAAAACAAAGCGGACTCCGGCTGTAATTGAATTTTTGATTTTAGCTGACCTCTACAGGGGCTACGCTCAGACGCTCGTTCACGCTGTCTGAGACCGATCGCCGTAACAAAACGAGAAAATAGAAAGGGAGTTATTTCAAGAGGCGTGTAATTGGAATTGATTTCAAAAATATATTTATTAATTTACGTCCGGTCTCATCTGGCGGAGTTTAAACCTGATGTCACGGAAACAAATTCATTTCTGTTTGGTTCAATCTACATGTTTTATCAGGTCAGGTCGAGGCCAGACAGCAATTTATCTGCCAACATGAATGTAATGGCAGTAGAAAAAGCGTACAATTCTATCTTTTCTGTACAATTCTAGGGTTGCCAAAAGTATCAAGAATCAAATAGCAGTCGATATTAAAACTAGTATCAAAACTAGACACTCTTTTGAGCAGGTATCGATGCTAAAAATTCACACAACAGACAAGAACATTTCCTGAATTGATACTTGGCAGTGACGTGACATTGGGGTTGTACATGATCTCTAATGGTGGAATGTTTAGGAGTTGCCACGGTGACACAATGCACACTTTAGCAAATACATTAAAAAGCAGATAAAGAGACCTAGGTATTCCTATAGAACAAGAGCAATGGCAAAACATAATATCCAACTGGTTTCTTACATCTCAAGAAATTCAGTCACAACTAATTAATTATAAAATTTTAAATCGATGTTACCAGACTCCAAGCAGAATGGCTAGACTGAACTTAAAAGACAATGATAAATGTTGGCGATGCAATCAAGCTACTGGAACTATGATACATATGTTATATGAACGTGACAAAGTCAAGCTCCTTTGGGAGCAAATAATTGGACTTATTAAAGAACTGTTAAATGTCACATGGAACAAAAACCCTGGACTCTGTCTACTTGGAATCATACCCACAAAACAACTACGGCACGAACAAACTTTATGGTGTAGAATAGCTCTTATAACAGGATGCCGGATGATAACACAGGAATGGAAATCTACCAATCAATCATCTTTCAGTAAATGGTTAGAATGGATGCTTAAAACTGCAAACTATGAAAGGGTGACTTATAGATTACAGCAACGGCAAGATTTATTTTTCAAGATATGGAAAAAATTCTTTGATTATATGGAAAACCACAGAGGACTATCGCTAAACTGAACAAACAAATGTATTATTATTATTATTATTATATTATTATTATTACTATTATATGTGTGTATATATGTGTATATGTGTATATGTGTATTTATATATGTGTGTATATGTGTGTATTTTTTATTTTTTTTCCCCTTCTTTATATTATTTAGGTATTATTTATTTTTATTTTCTCTGGAGACAGTGGGGGGGAGTGGGGGGGTGGGTGAAGGGCGGGGGGGCTGGGGGGGGAAAAAAAAAAAAAAGAGGGTCACATTGTATTACTATTAATTATATTACTTATTTATTTTTTCTTCTACTTCTGTCTGATTTGTCTGCACAAAAAATAATAATAAAAAAAAAAAAGCAGATAAAATAGTCTGAAAACTCAAGAAAAAAAATACTAAATAGATTTAAAGAGCACATTTTCAGAGCCTGCGATCAGTCCGAGCGTTCATGGTCCTATTTAGGTGGTTGATGAACTGAAAAACTGTTGGCTAATGCTCACCTGTTGTAGCTCCAACCCAATCAGCTCTTTGTGTTAAAATAAAGCCCAGATTAAAAGGTAATAGAGCCTCAGACAGAGCAGTGCCTACAGTCGGCATCAGAACTCCTGTGGAACGTTGATGACATCAGTTGCAAAGCTTTAGAATGATCTTGGTATCAGAACAAGTAGAAGAGCACATAGACTAGTATACACACATGGACCACTGAAGATTACACCAGATGATAGTATAAAAAAGAAACTATAACGAATTTAATGTTAAAAATGACATTCTGTTTAAGCAAGAAGTAGTTTTTTTTTTAACTACCGTATTTTTCAGACTATAAGACACACTTAAAAACCTTAAATTTTCGCTTTATAATCTAGTGCGCTTTATGTATTAATTCTGGTTGTGTTTACTGACCTCGAACCGATTTCATGTGGTACACGGCGCTCAAAAATCTGTCACAATGTTTTTTTAGTATGACTTTGGTAAACTACGAAGCTGCACCGCTTGATGGATTGTCGGAGCGTTACGGCTTCTGTAGTCAGGAGCCTCGTGAAGTAAAGGGCAACAGAAGCTGAACCGCACCAGTGCACAAGGATCGAGCTGTTTTTTTCAGAGCTTATAGTTTATACTAATGAGCCATGTGGTTTTACGTTTTGTTTCTGTAAAACGTAAACAAATGTGTGCAAAGCTGCTTTAAACACATTATTACTCAATGTATATTTGAGTCATCCTCCGATTTGAGTCACATGGAGGCAACACCAGGTGAATTACGCCATGATCTGCTGATGGATCATGGAACGCCTGGGCTAATGATCAGTCTCAATCCGTGTATCATTCGTTCATTCGTTTTTCAATATAAAACCAAAAATAAGAAAACGAAAAAACAACAGTTTTCTTCGTTATTTGTCTCCAAAACCAAAATGAAAAAAACGGATAACGATTCGTTTTTTCAGTTTTCGATTTTGTGTTTAAATGAAGAATGGAAAAAACGGATAACGGCCGTTTCCCGTTTATGTGACTTCCGTGACTGCGATGCCGGACTTTTGCACCGCGTACGGACTGAACCGGGACTGATCCAGGTCCGAGACCAGACCGAGACCAGACCGGACTCCGAGCTTTCACCCCAACGAAAACGAACCAAACTAAGAGCTTTTGGTTCAGATGGACCAGACCGGGACCAGACCGGGACCAGACCGGGACTGAGACCGGGACCAGACCGGGACCAGAGCGGGACTGAGTCTCAGTAGCGCTCTGGTCCCGGTCTGGTCCCGGTCTCAGTCCCGCTCTGGTCCCGGTCTGGTGCCGGTCTCAGTCCCGCTCTGGTCTCGGTCTGGTCTCGGACCTGGATCAGTCCTGGTTCAGTCCGTATGCGGTGCAGAAGTTCGGCATCGCAGTCATGGAAGTCACGTAAACGGGAAACGGCCGTTATCCGTTTTTTCCATTCTTCATTTAAACACAAAATCGAAAACTGAAAAAACGAATCGTTATCCGTTTTTTCATTTTGGTTTTGGAGACAAATAACGAAGAAAACTGTTGTTTTTTCGTTTTCTTATTTTTGGTTTTATATTGAAAAACTAATGAACGAATGATACACGGATTAGTCTCCAGTTTGTTTGTTTCGCTTAGTGCTCCATATAATCCATTGCACCTTACGTATGAAAATAGATGAGAGAATTCAGTGTTATTGATATTGCGCCTTATAATCCGGTGCGTCTTATAGTCCGAAAAAACTATCATCGTAGTATCCAGTCTATTCAAATTCGGGTTTGAAATTTTAGTAACTTGACAATGTATATTCAACATTTTATGAATGGGATTGCCTTTCCACAGATATGACCTGTCACTTGGCTTGGTGTCGCCATCTGCAGGTCTTCATGGAAAAAATATGTTTAATGTCATACTGTGAAATAGGTCTGGTATCATTAAGAAGTTGCCGATACGATACATAGGCCGTGATACAATACATATCTCGATACAGTGAGCTTTCAGATCGATAAGATATAGTTCAAATCGATTTGATACAGAAACACACCCATTTTAATCATCAAACCTGTGAAAATAGAAATGAATTTGTTTCTGTGACATCAGGTTTAAACTCCACCAGATGAGAACGGACGGAAATTAATAAATATATTTTTGAAATGTCAAAAATGTCAAATGTGTTGCATAAACAAGTTTCCTTCCTCTAAACAAGCAATGAAACTGTAGCTCTGTAACAAAATAACTGAGTAAAATATACCAAAAAATACTCTGGTGATATATCGATACAGCAGCCCATGATATCAATACTGTATCATCACATTAAACTGTCCAATCCAATCCAATCCAATCCACTTTATTTCTATAGCACATTTCACAAACAAACTGTTTCCAAAGTGCAGCACAAATACATAAAAAATAACAACAATAAGATGATAAAGTAAACTACTAAAATAATACTAGTCTTAAAGTAATAAAACTAGTAAAATAATATAAAACCAGTAAAATAAAAATAAAACTATATCATAGAATAGAAATAAATAAACCAATAAATAAATTAAATCAGTAAAACCAATAAAAACACATAAAAATAAATAAAAGACACAGAGGAGCACACGACTCACGCGGTGTTAAAAGCCAGAAAATAAAAGTGGGTCTTCAGACGAGATTTAAAACTCTGCACTGTGGAGCTGCTCGAACGTGAAGCAGCAGATCGTTCCAGAGTTTAGGGCCGACCACAGAGAAAGCCCTGTCCCCTCTGGTTTTAAGTCTCGTCTTAGACGCCCTGAGCTGGAGCTGGACCTCGGACCTCAGAGCGCAGGGGTATAAATTTGGATGAGGTCTGTACAATATATCGATATTTCAATGTTTTTGCACACCCCTGCTGTAGAATATACCAGGCAAAGCAATGACATCTCCATGGAGACGAGCAGAACACCGTTAATATCTCTCTAAAATACATATGCAGTTTTCTCCTTGACCCTTCGAGAGTATGGACCAAAATGACTGTTCTTATCTCGTATTATATTCCGTATATTTCACTCTCCATCCTGGCTGAATGTAGCTGGACTATTCAACATTTTCATTTTATGCGTATAGCGTTTTAAGATATGCGTTTGGTTCCTTACCGTGCAGAAACTTGGGAAATCACTTGAAAAGTTCTGGAAGATCTCTGCCACTGAAATTGTGTAGTTTTATTGTCCAGACCTCAGAATTACATACATTTATTTCTATTTCTCACGTACGTTTGCAAGTTTAATATTTTGTGCAGCCATGTAGTTAAATATAAACTCTATATAAACAT